CTAATGTCAGAGTCCTCGTATATTCGAAGTGAAATAGCTTACTTAAACGATGTACTTAAAATTTCTGAAAAGACACATTGCTATGATGATCCTTAAGTACGAAGTACTTCCACTGACTGATCTACTTTTCTAATGAGAAACAGAAAGCCCTTGGGTATTTTGAAATTGGAAACATTCCTGAAGGATCTGGCCACAAACATTTTATTTTTAAAAATTTGGAGAGTAGGTAATGAGTACCTAATGAGTTAGTTAACACATTTTTATTGCGAATATCAGATTACCCAGAGTATTGTGAGCACAAAAATCTTTGATAGTAAAGTTAGGCAAGTGAAGTAAAAACTACCAAAATACTCTTATGAGGAACTGAGCTTAAAGACCCGTAGGTAAATTCCCCCTCCAATCCATAAAGATACCTATAGAAAAAGAAGCGAGCAATTTCATTCGCTGAACTCTTAAATTTGAAGTGCATTCCTTAAGTAATACCGCCTCGGGCAGTTCAAAATTAACTTTATGTCAATAAACCTCCTTGGTCCCACCTACAGAATGTAGCTACCAAGAGAAAATCTGGAGTTAGGTATGTGTACCATAGTATTAGTAGGTATGTGCACCATCGAGGATGTCCGGGCACCATCAACGATGCACGACATCCCTACATTGCCCGTAACATATGTACCATTCGCGCGCTGCGCTCGGATCTGTTTACATTTCAATTACTTACTCAGCCGCATATTAAATCAAAGTGAGTAAGAATAGAGATCTTGGCAGTGTATAGTATAGAGTATCACTGAAATTCCTTCCGTTCAGTGCAAGTACATTGCCTCATCCGCTATTTGCTTTGAGACTCAATAGCTATAGTAGCAATGTCCGCGGAGATAGCCTTTGCTTACAATATTATACGGGAGCAAGGAAAAACAAGGAAACTTGAAAATTGCGATGCAAATTTCTTGAATGAGCCTTCATAACTAGCATGTATTTATCAACATACACATTCTCTGAAACTATTCTATGGTTTGAACACTATAGTGATAATTTGCATGACAATCACAACGCACAATTAGAGTGTTCTATAGGGTTTGAAGATAGAGTAGCCAGCAGCCTGATTGTTGAAATTTTTTGTTCGTCAGGACAACGTAGATGACATAGGTTAAAAGGCGGAGCGTGATTGGTTCGCTATGTCTTATTGCTGCTTTGTCGTGCCTATGTCGGGTTGAACTCACGACAAGCTAACGGCACTTCTTAAGTTTCTGATGTTTCCGACAGTATGTCATACATTCCACCTGACAAAGGTATGACAAAGCAACGATAAGACATAGCCGACCAATCTCGCTCCGCCTTTTAACCTATGTCACCTATGTTGTCCCGACGAACAAAAAAATTCAACATTCAGGCTGCTGATAGATGTTGCATGGTCACTGTGGTTTGGCATGGTTCTGCAAATATTGCTTCTGATATTAGGTAACACACATTGAAATAGTTCAGCACATACCTTAAGTAGAATTTTGGCATCCGACTCGGCATAGATTTGTTGCTAAAACTACTGACGCTGCCTTTAAATCCTTGATATGGGTCTCACTCAAAACCAGATTACTAGGATTATTTGACATCGAACAGATTTCCGCAGGGATAAGGGTACTAAAATTCACTTGTCATAGGTACTTACAGTTTTGCTTGCGAACAAATGAACCACAGATGGAGGAAGGTACACAGAACTTGTAGCACGGTAATAAAGGTAGAGACAAAGTTTAGAGATAGTAGTGAACAATAAAGGGAAGTTTCATTAGTATGATTTAGTTTGCATTTCGAAATAACAGCAATAAATTATTTATTAGTTTAGTTCGTGTAGGTATGTTTACATCTCGCGATAACCTAAAAGCGAAAAGACAAACATTGATTGAATTGACTTGACTGTGACGTCAACTAGCTATCCGGCACGAAGTCACGACGGCAGGGAATTCAAAATTCTTAGAAACCAGTTGTTAATAAATAAAAAAACAAATCGGAAAATGAGTGATTAACGCAAATCTATGTTTTAATCTCAGTTTCTCTCCAAGCGTGGAAAAGAGGGTCGTGATTCAGGATTCACTTGATTCACTCTGTTCACTGATGACATAGAATAATAGCTACTTATTTATTATTCTAAATATGATGATGATGATGAGATTCTTTCCAAGGGATCAGACAATTTTTCACGACAAATTTACATGGAGCAGCGACAGAGCAGCTAACTGACGCCATGACACTGGCGGTGCGTCGTGAATGGTCGTGAATTGAATGAAACAACGACTTTGATCAGTTGAACTTTCTTAAAAATTAATAATGCAAAAACACGTTCTAAATTCAAGGAATGATGCCTATGCACTGGTTTAAACCTTTTGAAATGAGTTGCAATGATTTTCATAAATGTTCGCAGCACATTTATATTTAATACGGATGGCCGATTGCAAGCAAAATTTCGAGGCACGAATGTGAATGCGGCGCGGGTGATTTGAAAAAGTGGCCAAAAAACGGCAATTAATTAGCGATTATTAATTAACTGTGTAATGAATCAGCACCAAATTTCGCCTGTAGGCGAGGAATTAAGTTTGCCAGCCAGAGTGCAAAGGGTTTTGAGTTTCGTTAAGTTTTGCGGAGATATCTCAAAATAACGCAAAAGTTGAACGGGTTCGTGTAAGATACAGTAGCGGCTCCCATTTTCGTTGTTGGAGACGTCTATAGGCTTGACGGGCTAGCTACCGCTCCTAGTAATGACCTTTTCAGGGATGGTGTTTTACATAGAAACTCAATTTTCTGTAAATTTTGCCATTTTTTACAATTTTAAATAAAGCCGTGTCAAACCCAAAAAAAATGGAAATTTTTGGAACAAGGTACCCTCTCTTACTGTAAATTTTATGTACTTTTACGTGGTCACAGTGGTTTTTTGATCAAACACTTTTAAAATGCGCAAAAATTAGGAAAATGGAGCTAAAAACGGTCTTTTTTCAGAAAAATGTCATTTTTGATCCCAGCAGAAATTATCCTACCGGCAAATATAATTACTTAAAAGGATGTTGAACACACCATTCTAGACCAAAATTTAACGTACTTTTCAGTTACATCATTTATTTTAACTTTAAAGCGGTAAAATCTCAAAAATAACTAAAAAATTACATTTCATCATTTTTTTTAAAACTTTTTTTAAACCAAAATTCAGTGCTAAGACCCCTCAAAAAGGTTTTACGGCAACTTTCAATTGCCCTATGTTATAGGAAATTTTATGAACTTTTCATTTCGCACCTTGTTTTCTTTCTTTAACTCCTTTTAACATGTGAAATATAAGAAAAACAGCGGGAAAATTTTTTTCGGGCAAATTGCACTTTTTTTCAACATTGCCTCTGCATTTTCACGAGAGACGCCAAAAATACAAATAAAGGTACATTTCTTACATAAAATTTTATCAGCTTTTCGCTGATTACCATGGTTTGATGAATAAAATTGTTTGCAGCCATGAAAAACCACAAAAACCTGAGACAAAGCCTTGTTATTGAATAATTTGTAAATTTTTACCGTCTCAAAAATTGGCTTCTAAGTACACTTAAATACCTTCAAAAATTTATTCATTGACATTTTTTTCACTTTCATGTGCTATTACATTGGTACCATAAAATTTACTTCAAACAAAAATTACTAAACTTGAAAATTCTGGCTATATGTTAAGAAAAATGTTCGTAACCGAGCAGCTGGGTTTTCCAATAGACAACTTTAACGCCATATAACTACCTTAAAAATAAAAACCCTCTTTAAAAAATTCGGAACAGTAATTTCAGGTATGCAATTTTTGGGAAATTTTATGCACTAAACGATTATTACCATCGTTGAATCGTATTCTCAGTTTCCAGCTGTGAAGAAGCCAAAAATCGTTGAAATTCTGAAATTTCTAGAGAAATCAGTTTTCAGCGTAATTCCCTTAAATACACTTTTCAGGTACATTTTGTAAAATTTAAAGGAAAACCAGTGTGTTATTCGTCTTGAAAATTTTATCACCTTTCTAAAAAGTATATATAAGTCATACTTTTGTCGAAAAATAATTGATCAAAAGCGCTGGAAACGGAAAAAAACAACTGAATTTGTTGTTAAATATTGACTTCATACTTTTGAATGATTCGTCTCACGATGAGGTCATATAAGATAAAAAGGTAAAATGAATGGGTATACTTGTTTAAAATTAGCGTACTTTTCAGTGGTGCCGTTGTTTTTAACCTTAAATTAATTATTTTGACCTAAAATTGGTCAAGAACGCGAAAAATCGTGAATTTTCAGCAGATTTTGCCGGTTGTTGTTTTTAAATATTAAAATTCGGAAAGAAAAAAATAAGAAAAGCCTAAGTATTGTATATTATTCTTAATCAAAATTTTCTGATCTTTCAAACTGATGTCTTGCAATTTTTTTGTTTGACGCATTATTTTTGAGTTATAAAGGGAAATCCGTAAGTACGTCCTCTTTGAAAATCGCCGTAAGCCGCCATTTTGAAAAACTGCGATTTGACCACTTTCCCGGTGGATTTTTTTGGAAAATTTTTGTTTCTCTCTTATTGGGTACCTAGAGACCCTATATTCCAAAGGAAAAGTTTGTGCTAATTTGTCCGAGGTAAAAAGCTAGAATGACTGGACTACCTCTCTTTCTCGGAAGTTCGAAACATCTCTTTCTTGAAAATTCTTAAATTTCAAAAATTCACATCAGTGAGTTTTTCGAATTGAGACCTAATATTTTGCAGAAGTTCATTATTTGGTGGCCTGATGAAGAAAAAAATGTAACAACAAAATCCAAGTCGGGCGGTTGCATGGCTGGTAGGTTCTATATGGAATGACCCAGTATAGAGGACTATGTATCACTGGTACTGACCTTCCCCCCTTGTAATGCAACATAATACAGGCTCATACCCCTCTCCCCTGTGAGTGTTACTTAATTTTATGAAGACTCCTAAACCCTTTTTTTTGGTTACCTCAATTTTGGTTTTTTTTCAGTTATTACATTGCGGGAAACTGAATTCAGTGATCAGCTGAACAATAGGAGAACTTTTCAAGGCTTTACGGCCCTCCACTATGCTGTTCTTGCCAATGACTTCACGATAGTCAGGCTACTCCTTGATGCTGGGGCTAATCCGCTGATTGAAAATGATGCAGGTCATCAACCCATCATGTTCGCTAAAGCAGAGCAAATCAAAGATTTATTGGATAGAGCAATGTCAGAGGTAAAGTTCGTTTTTTCAGTCAGTGACAGATCTAGAGAGTGGTCAAGAGAGGTGACATTTAATGAAATGGAATGGAGGGTAAGGAGGCATACCTACGTTCAAGCAGCTCTCAGAAAAATATTTTTAAAAAATATTCCCACAAACTGAATTTTAAGTAGGCTCTTGTTTCAAATTCTAAAATCGATTAATTGGTACAATCTGACAACCTTCCGTAAGTCAATTGGAGAATTTTTGTTTCAAAGGTGATACAGTAGAGGCTATTATTATTGGGACCAGATCTATCACATTGCAGATTATACGAAACCAAGATATCTGACCAGGAATAATGAAGAAAAAGGTTGTATCCTAAAAGACTCTATCACAAACCTTTTAAAGATCAGCCAAAAATGTAATTATCAGGTAAAAATTAATGAAGTCTACCTTGAAAGATGTTACTTTGACAAACATAATTTATTTTATCACAAATTTTAGTGTTTTCCATCACAACAAAGCCACCAAAAAGAATTGCGGTGAATTGAATCGTGGATAATTGAGACTATTTAGAAAGTGGAAAATAACTAACTGAAAACGTGAAAGAATTTTTTTGTTATGATCCAGTTTTCAGATAATTAAGTAATTTTAGCCTGTTTTTAAGTTTTTACCATTTCGACAGTGTTAGTCGGCAATCACATAACTCGGTTTGCGACGTCGCAGACTCCCTGTCACACGTTACTTTTTTAAACAGAAAACTATTCAACGGCAATTCTTTAAAAACTTCCGTGATTTTTCTTCTCTGTGCGAAGAAAATTCTGCATAAAATTCGAGGAATGATGTCCATCTGTTCTCTTTTAAAAAAATAACATAGAGGCAGAGATTTTCAGACACCGCAAACGAGTTATGTGATTGCCGACTCACACCGTCGATTTGTTTAAGTGGGATTGATTTTCCTCAATAATTTCAACTTGACGTGCATCCAAGGATGGAGTGAATGAACTCTTTTAGCCCAAAGATTTTCAGGACTTTGGACAGAAGGAAAATGACAACACACAGGCCAAAGTGCAAAACCACGTATCTCCAGCACAATGTTTCAAAATTTCCCCTCGTATTTTATTTTTTCCACGAGAACAAGCCAATTTTAATAGCTTGAAATTCATTCAAAATAATCTGCTGGCATTGGAATAAAATCACACAAGTTTTCAAGAAATTATGTTAAACAGTTTTCTTAAGAAAAAACTAAGGATGACAGGAAGTCTGCATGTCACAAACGGAGTTACAAGATATCGCACCATGGTCGTCAATGTACCTTTTGCTGCAGAAATCAAGAGAATATGAAACGTTGATATACAGGGTGTTTCAGACCACCCGTACCAGGCCTTTTTCTCGGTTGTTTTAGGTCGTACAAAGTCGGGGACCGCGGGATTGAATAGGGAATGGACCACTAGACAAGGTACGAATTTCAGCACTCTGATATATGATCCGTAACCAAAATTTCACGTAGAGCACGATGCGCACAATGAAAATTATCGAAATCAACTCCTCACAACGATATTTAATGATTCTTGATGCGTGAATTCAAACCACCCGCTCATGAAAACGCAATGCTCTACGCGATTCACATCGCGCGCTAAACGTTATCATGACAGTCTCTGCGCGATGTAAAAATCTGGCAACCTCAATCTTGACGCTTTGGCTCAGCTATAGCAAATTGCCTATAGTTCGAACAACACATGGTGGGAAATGAATATTGCTCGATTAAGAAACTTGCTGAGGTCGTTGTCGTGCGCGATTTGACTCACGTAGAGCTTTGAGTTTCTTGTGAGCGGGCAGTTCAAATTCCTCGTAACCAATGTGAAATGAAAAGGTTAATATCTTCGTTAGGAGTTGGTTTCAGTAATTTTCATTGCGCGAATCGTGTTCTACGTGAAATTTTGGTTAAGAAACATGTACCGGAATGCTTAAATTCGTATCTTGTCTAGGGATCCATTGACCCCAAGGAATCCGAATTTCGTGGTCCTGAAACCCCCCCACCCCCCCTTGGGGGGTAAAGGGGGGGGGGTCACGATGCTAAAAGTCACGGTTCCCGACCGAATTGCGAATTACTCGCATCAGAATTGAAAAGCACGGAAAATTTCACGTGATATTGACCCCTAGAAATCCATAATCAGTCCATCCAAGGCTCAAAAATGACCCCCTAAAGAGGGGGACAGTACCCCCCTCCATAATTTCTCTTTGGTCTCAAAATTGACGTAGATTCTCGAGAAAAGGATGGTTTCCCAGGTAATCGACCCCGAGAAATCTAAATTTCATGGTCCCGAAGCTCCTCTGGCCCCCCTTGAGAGGTAAACGGGGGGCCCAATTTTAAAAATCGGGGCTCCTTTCCGAATCGAAAATTGAGTGCATCCAAATTGAGGAGCAGAACACTTTTACATCTTAAGTGACCCCCAAGAGTTTTAATTGACCCCCCTGAACGGCAGAAAGTAACCCCTGAAGAGGGGGGCTTCGTCCCCTCCAAAAATTTCTCAGGATTCCTCTTTGGTCGCAAAATTGTCGTCGATTCTCCAGAAAAAGACGGTTTTCCAGGTAATCGACCCTGAGGACTCTAAATTTAATGGTCCCTAAGCTCCGCTACCCGCCCTCTTGGGCAGAAACCGTCTTTTTCTGGAGAATCGACGACAATTTTGCGACCAAAGAGGAATCCTGAGAAAATTTTGGAGGGGACGGAGCCCCCTCTTCAGGGGTTACTTTCTGCCGTTCAGGGGGGTCAATTAAAACTCTTGGGGGTCACTTAAGATGTAAAAGTGTTCTGCTCCTCAATTTGAATGCACTCAATTTTCGATTCGGAAAGGAGCCCCGATTTTTAAAATTAGGCCCCCCGTTTACTCCTCAAGGGGGGCCAGAGGAGCTTCGGGACCATGAAATTTAGATTTCTCGGGGTCAATTACCTGGGAAACCATCCTTTTCTGGAGAATCTACGTCAATTTTGAGACCAAAGAGAAAGGACCGTACAACAAAACGGCCAAATCGGCCTAAACACGGAATCGTACGATTTTCTCAGGGATGATAGAGGGTCTTCCCAGACACTCAAAACTGGTCATATTTTTTGCCTAACTCCCAGGGAAAAGGGGGGAGAGGGGGTCAAAGTCAAAACCTTTAAATTAGCATAACTTCTCAACGGTTTGTCGTAGAAAGATGATCTTGGTGTCAAAATTTCCAGAAAAATGAGAGCTTTCAGAATACATGTATGAAATCAATTAAATTTTAAAATTTGACCCACTTTTGGGGCATTTTACAAGGTCCCCCTTTCGTAAATTTTCGTTTTTTGAGATTTTCGGTTGTTCGGTTCGCACGGATCAAAACAAAAACAATTTCAAATAAAAGTAGAGCGTTTAAGCTTTAAAAGAAGCCCAAGAAGATCTTGGGGAAATGATTAGAAGCGGAGTTATGAGTCTTCAAAGTTGACGCGGCGCGCGGGAACCTTGTATGTTCCGAGTCTCAAGGTCACCTGCGCGCTCCGGATTGCCTGCAGGTTGCAAGTTTT